TGTCATTAGCACCTCTAGTAATATATTTACTGAGAAAAATGGTGACGTGTTCAATACTTATTTTACCCGCTGTATATATGTATATACATATACATTTTTCTTTATCGTCACTTATCTTTATTGTGATAAAACCTAGAAATTATCGTGATAACTATTTTAGTCCATATCACCCATCCCTAGTACGAAGAAACATTTGCTGTAGTTGCCTGTGTGCTGGTTGTTTGCACATGCGCACTTTTATACCTGCGGGGTACTTCTCAACTCAGCAGTGGGTGTTACCACATGGTTTCAAAAAGTCAGAAAAACACGCAACGAGCGGCTAGATCACAACAAAAATGTTGCAGTTTCACTGCAAACCAGCTCAGTGTAAACGGGGCCGTAGATTTAATCAATGCTTTGAGAGATTTAAGAAAACACATCCAGTGGTTCAGAAAGTATTTTGTAAGTGCTACACACAAACACACATGGGCAAAAACATTACTGCCCATTTCCTGGCCACGGGCGTTAGTGAATAAAATGTTGGATGAAAGTCCTGCTGACCTTTCTTCATCAATGATCAGTGAGCCATCTTCTGCCACTTTCACCTGAGGGACCATCATGGCTTCATCCTGCTCTTCCTCAGCATCTCCTCCCTCTTCTTCCTCCCTTGAACTTGTTGTAGGAGGAAGGACATCAGCTTGTGGGGTTCTCTCTGGAGACCTTTAGGAATGATAGTGAAAATATGAAAAGAAAATGCATTGGTATTAAACATTTTACGACCTATTAAAATTATTTTAAAATATATCATTTTAAATTTAAAACAAAACAAAAAAACATGCACAATAGCTTGCCTTCAGGCCCAGGCCCCACTTGCAAAAGTTATCTGTGATCTCAGTAGGATCTGACTGGTAACACATTCTTCAGACTTTCCTATCACTAACCCTATTGTAAGAAAATTTAGTGTTTGTTAACTGAAATCGGGACGAAACCACATAACTGTTGAATAGATTAAATGTGAAGAGAATGGAACCATACAACAGCAGTGATTGGAGTGAACGCCGGTTTATTCTGTCTGTGCAGATAGGCAACCAACACTGACAAGAAACCACAAGTTCCGGCATTTATATACATGTTCTTCAGTGCCTGGTACGCCCACTACTGGCCTACGGCTGAGTCGCATTTCTTCACTATTTTAGGTTTTATTATTTATCTAAGTCATTGTTTTGTTTTATTAAATCAATAACATAGGTGTATTGGTGATAATTTACTGAATTTTAATGAACACCATATACTAAAGCATTAAAAGATCCTTCTGTGACATGAACGTCTGTGTAAATGTTTTCTAAGGGACAGCTACATTATATCATCAGGGTTCATGCAGTTTTCAATAAGTTAAATTTAAGACCTTTTAAAGACCTTTTAAGACCATTAGTAAAGAAATTTAAGACCAAATCGACGAATTAACAGAAACACTCAAATGGTCCCAGAAATTTTATAATAGAAACCTTTTATTGCTATTAATTTAGTTATTGAAGAATATTTAATTTTTATACAAGAACACTAAATTATTTGAATGAAACAGTCATATCTGACTGCTGTGAACCGCTTTCAACAAAGTGAAGAAAATCACTGATATCAAGTCAAGTCTCATTGAAAACACACTTTCCCATGTTTAAACAACAAGCAGTGAACATGACTGAACTTTTGTTTTTTGAGCAGGTAAATAAGCCGCTGTATGTGGAGGGTTGTATGTGGAGGGTTGTATGTGGAGGGTTGTAGCGGCAAAGAGGTCAAAAACATGGAAGTAAACTGTGCCATTTTTACCTACAGTTATCATGGGATTTGTAGTTGAATCATGACCAGAAGCAAACTTAGCACTTCATTAGGGCTGCAACGATTAATCGATGACTAATCGATTATTAAAATAATCAATGACTAATTTAATAATCGATTAATCATTTT